TCAGAAGATACATTCAAAAATCGAGTATGTTACGTAGCCTAAAGCATCATACAAAGTCACTGGAACTTAGCAGTCCAAGTCACTTTACAAAAAGGGAGCTGGGAATCTTAAGTCTGTTTGACGCTTTCAAAAATTTTATGCTTCAGAAAGACAGGTGACTACCTCGCTATCAAGTAATCATGTAGTTTCCTTCCCAGCCTCAATTTCACTTGAGGAAAAAAATCAGCTGTACAGAGAAGAGCTAAGCTGAAATTAGAAATAAGCATAAGCAAGAGAAGTTTTCAAGAATCTTAGCCTGCTTGATTGCATGCAATATTTATCATTTTTCTCCCTAAATCACTGTGTATGTCAACGACCAAAATTATCAGAAGCATGTTCCAGGTAAACGTATTTCAGTAAAAGCAATCTGTAAATTATTGCAGAAACAGCACATGCCATCATTAAATCTCTCTCTGGAGTCACTTGCTAATTATGGAGCTTTTCTTACTGAGGTAAAAAAAGTTATCCACACAACACATAGTATATGCACTTAAAACTAAGAAAAGTGTAGACAATACCAAGCCTTTGACACATGCAAACCTAAAGCAGCCAAATTTAAATGAAAAATACTTTGAGTATAGCAGTAAGATAATGCACTTTTTTCCTAATATTAGGAAGTCACCGAGTCAACACATAAATTGGATACACAGGCAACACCCAATTGCATCTTTAAGGATTTTTAAGTTTATAGCTCTTGCACATAAATAAAAAATCTAGAATATTGGATAAATATGCCATGAAGGAAAAGTTATGTCAGTCCACAATCTGGACAACAGCACAAAGCACCTTAGTATCAGAAACACGTTTAAGAACAGAGCTTTTTTGTGGTAGATTCAAAAGCATAAACATCTCACTATCAACAACCGTTCTCACAATAAATATCCTATTCGTAAAATTGAAATATTTGTTTCTTTAAAAGAGTATGTTTTATATTGTGATATAGTTTTAAAAGTCTACAGAAATATTTAATTTGCAAAATCAAACATTTCAAACGCAATTTGTTTGCAGTCCCTTTGGTAACAGGCATTACTATAGAGTTTTAGTTATATGATCCCAAAATTTTTCTCCCAGACCTCATGCCCATAGGACAGTGTCTCTAAATAAAACTGAAGTTACACAGAACATTGCTATGACCCAGAAGTTTCAGAAGTTAGAAAGTATTTGTTAAAACAGCACGGAATTGCAAGAATGCAGCATCATGGTTAGCAGTTTGATATTACTCTCAAACTGGATTCTACTTATTTTTCTACCAATTGGTTGAGATATCAAGTGATAGTTGCAACCACAGCGCCAAATGATAGTCACTAACTGTGTGTGTACACGCGCGTGCACATGTGTGTATGTGCATGTGCGTGCACACAAATATATATACAAATATATATATATATAAAGATATTTATACACACACACACAGCAAAACTTTCTGTTCACTTCTGGGATCAGAATTCAAAAAGTCACATATAAAATGATCATGTATGAAAATCATGTAGGAAAAGGTAACAATATTACTTTAGTTTTTATTAGAATCTATAAAACTTCAGTTACAGCTTGCCTATTCTCAGCTATATCATCTACATACTCATTACTATGAATAAATTGGATAGTATGGAGATTATACAACAGAAGTAAAAAGGAAAAAAAACTATTTTGTTACCACAAGGTCTGCATGGTGTCTAGGTTACACAGAATGAGAGGGATGCTCACTGCAGCCTAATGAAAATAGCTATTTTAGAATTTGCTTTCAAAAATAAATGAAAAATTTTTAATTTCATTTGATAGAAGATATGTTTATTCCTAACTAGGTTCATCAGCAGGCCTAACATGAACAGCCCAGACACAAGTCACTTGCACTGAGTAATCTGTAGCAGCAGATAGGTTAAATAAGTGGATCAGGTACATATGGGTTTCCACAACCATTCAACACCACCACCAAAACAGCAGCAGTTAGGACCAACTTCTACAGAATTTCTTTAGAGAAGTCAAAAATTCAATCCAGTTTTATTTCTGTGTCTCCTCCCTGCTTCCCCTCTACGCTTTTGTCCACTTTCTCATTCTTTCCCTTTGCTTCTATTCTTCCTCAAATCTTTTTCCTCTGTGTCAGTCTTCCCTTTCTTCCTTTCCACACTAAGTAGCTTGCTTTCCCTGATCAAAGCCCAGTACAGGTAGCACTGAACACAATTAAATCTTCTTCCAGTTTCCAGTTCTGTAATGGCAGCAAAAGGGAAAGTCCATACTCAGCCCCTACCACCCTAACAAGAAAGGAGCACGTACAGCCTAGCTAAACAAAGAGGCTAAAAGGGAGGATTGACTGGTATAGCCTGTAATTTAAAACAATGCAGTACTCAGAACAGCAGTATTCTATTTTGCCCCCAAATCAGCTTTTTCTTTAAGTGAGAACACAGAAAACACATATTTAACCAAGGTTATTCCGCTGCTAATTTCAAATCTGTGTTTAGACTAACAGATGTCCCCTCATAATACAACCACTTCGGAACAGGCATACCCAGATTCCCATCCTCACCTTCTCAGGAGGAAAGCTAACCAATTGCAACAGGAACACAGAATGGAAGATTTCCATCCAGCTGGGAAAAGAAGAGGATATAATGGACACCTGTGTTATAAAAGAGTTGCCATCTACAAATACACTGTTAAGGACTACAACCAAGGAGAACAGTCCCGAATGGCTGCACTCATATCTGTCTCGACGTAAGCCAGCATCTCTTTTCGCTTTGAGTTGACTACACACAAATACTACTTTTAGTGGTGCCTGCTGAATTGGAACAATGCTCAAA